TAGTGTGGGGAGGTCAGGTGGGAGTTGGAGGCCCCCCTCCTAGGAGAGATAGTGTGGGGAGGTCAGGTGGGAGTTGGAGGCCCCCCTCCCAGGAGAGAGAGTGTGGGGAGGTCAGGTGGGAGTTGGAGGCCCCCCTCCCAGGAGAGATAGTGTGGGGAGGGGCAGGTGGGAGTTGGAGGCCCCCCTCCCAGAAGAGATAGTGTGGGGAGGTCAGGTGGGAGTTGGAGGCCCCCCTCCCAGGAGAGAGAGTGTGGGGAGGTCAGGTGGGAGGTGGAGGCTCACTTCCCAGGAGAGATAGTGTGGGGAGGTCAGGTGGGAGGCGGAGGCCCCCTCCCAGGAGAGAGAGTGTGAGGAGGGGCAGGTGGGAGGTAAAGGCCCCCCTCCCAGGAGAGATAGTGTGAGGAGGGGCAGGTGGGAGGTGGAGGCCCCCTTCCCAGGAGAGATAGTGTGGGGAGGTCAGGTGGGAGGTGGAGGCCCCCCTCCCAGGAGAGGTAGTGTGGGGAGGGGCAGGCAGGAGGCCACAGGTTCTGTGTGAGGCCAACTAGTTCTACAATGGAGGACTTTTTATTTAAAAAAGAGGTGAAACGGATTCTTTTCCCTTCGAATAACTGGCTTGATTTTTGTCTTTTAGCCGTGATGGACTTCCTTCCTTCTACACGGGAAAGCCTGTGGTTCTGAAGTTTGGCATCTTTGTTTATCTACTGAAAGCAGAGCTGGGGGAAATTTGATTGTATACGTCTAAAGTTCACGCCATACCCTTTCACCTAATGTCCCGACGTGTCACAGTAGCCTTCCCTGTTGTTCACAGTGTTATCTCTGAGTAGGTCTCTTCTTCAGTTGGTTTCTGGTCGTGCAGGTGGGTGTCTGGATGGTTCCCGTAACAACCATCTTTCCAGCTGTGGTGGTTTCAGACTGCATCGAGGGCCCTTAGCCTCGGCCCTTGGTACACGGCCAGCGGTCAGCTCCATCCAAGGCATTGTGCGTAGACTGGGCTCCATCCGTGGTACCTGTGCTGAGACCACGCAGCGTCGGGGTTTAACCTGAGGGGCAGTGCCCCACCTGACGGCACTCAGAAGCTCAGCTGGAGGAAGGACGGTCAGCGTTGGTGCCTTCTTGCAGCTGCTGGTGGTCGGTCGGTCCTGAGCAACTCAGCTGGTTCGCGAGGTCCCTTGAGAAAGCCCGTCTCTGCTGCACCGCAGTGGAGAGCGAGAGCATCCAGGTCGTCCTGGAGGCCTGTGAGAGGCGCCTCTGGCAGGCCCTCAATGTCTGCGCCTGCCTCGAGCACCTCGTTCTGTCGTGTTTCTTGCGGCTTCTCCGTTGGT